TAACATCCATTAAACATGGCACGTGGAACTAGAACAGTGAGCGAAATAAAGGGTCCCGTTCGTCATTCCAGCAATCTGAAAAAGGCCGGAGACGTTATAATAAATATGGTGACAAAGATGAAGACAATAGTCCGAATAATGTAAATAGTGTACATAATACCTCATCTCAGAAATATAGACAGATAAGATTCAATGTTCAGACTCGTCCATAGTACTGCCACGTTTGGTTAAATCCGTGTTAAAGCATTCTGTTATTTTACCTATTATTCCAAGACTACGAACGATCTCCGGAAACTATCAGGAATGTAACAAGAAGCTGGCTCGAGCTTGCGATGTTTATACCTGAGCTTTTTAAAGATTTGACTATATATATATATATATATATATATATATATATATATATATATATATATATATATATATATATATACAATCAATCAAAAATACATTTTACTACATTTGGGGGCAGGTTCATCACAGCATAATACGGTAAAATACCCATCGAAAATTATGTCCAAAAGGCTACCGTTGTACCTTAACACACTAAATGTTAAAAAATGTTCAAAATGTCCTCCGCTTGCTTCTACACACACATGCACACGTCGGATCATTGATTGGCGGACCCTTTTAAATACTCCAACACGGTCTCGAATTGTTTCGTAGGCCCCTACACACATCATACATGAATCACATGCGTCTTCCTCTATCAAGTCTAGAAGCATGTTCGAAATATAGTTCCTGTAGATAGTTGCTGTAAGACGTACTGGAAGAACATATGAACCTACCAGACAGTCACCTATAATTCCAGCCCGCACATTAATCGTAAGCTGATGCTAGTGTATAGCCTGTATTGAACCACAGATGTTATACCATCTGTTCCAAATGCTGCCTCATATGTAAACAAGATTAAAGAGATAAACAACGCATCTGCAGTTTGTGCAATAAACCAGCACGGTGAGTGATCAGAGGTCGAAAAACGCTGCACACATTGCAAATGATACGGGTACAAGAGCAACACTTGAAGTACTCTCCATGCAGTACGATGGGGTGTACGACATGCTAGTGCCACTTGGCCTGTTCTGATACGTGGATCGTCTCCGACAGCCTGAAGAATGTGTCCCCCATGGTCAGGCGTACGATCGGGTCTCGGTCTTCCTCAATCCATAGTTTGTGGTGCTATGGATCCTGTCTCAGTGACGCGACGACAAACAGCAACTAAGTTTGGATGACTCAGTTGCCTTCGGTGTCTAAACGCAGTCTGATACAACTGTGCAGACTCGCGTTCATTACCTTCTCGAGCGGCCGTATGTAAAAATTTATTTGCTCACGATATGAATGTTTTATCATTGTTAAACGGAACACTTCTCAGTTAACTGCATACAATACACGTTTAACTTTGAAGACAGTCTAACCACATATGTACACGAATGACAAATGTAACCGAGTCTACATAACAATCAGACACCCACACACACACACACACACACACACACACACACACATATATTTATATATATATGTGTGTGTGTGTGTGTGTGTGTGTGTGTGAGAGAGAGAGAGAGAGAGAGAGAGATTGAATAAATTACAGACATTATGCATTTAAAATCTTATTGAAAAATTACGGTAATGGATAGCAATGCACACTTTGTGGGTAATGAAAATAAAATAAATTTTGTGGGTAATGAAAATAAAAAAAATTTAAACAGTTATACCACATTTCTCTCATCCTTTAATATAAATTCTCCTTCGGTTGCTGATGAGGAAGCCATCTCATCAATTGTGCAAAATCCAGAAATTCCGGAGTTGTCCTTTGAACCTACCTGTCAAGAGGTAAGAGACTTCATCAAGAATCATCTGGAAAATCACCTTCTGCTAAGGCTCCTATTCCATCTGAAGTGTATAAGCATAGCGGCCCCAAAAATTGGTAGAAAAGTTGCATTTCCTTTTTGTGGAGATATGGACGGCAGTTTGTATCACACAGGATTATAAAGACGCCTCTATCAAACATCATCGCTTAGGCGATCATGATTAGGTCTGGCATGAAGTCAAACGATAGGCAACACACAGGGGTCAGGGAAGGTGATAAATATATATCTTAAAGGGGAAAAAATTGTATGCGTGTGGGGGAGAGTGAGAGAGAAAAAGAGAGAGATAGAGAAAATGTGCTAGGAACGAGGCTCGAGTGCTCAATAGGCTGCAGCTAGAAAAAGCTTGTGAATAACTTTTACAGATCAATGGGAATGAGAAAACATGGCTAAGTGAAAACATTCAAAGAGGCGGTATATGACGGATTATCGTCTCCTTACATAATTCATAACCGTATAGTTTTCAGCAAGAATTATTTTCTTTTCTCAGCACAGAGACTTAAAGGAATGGATTTGCCGATAAATTCGAATCACCTTAGTTACATCAGCAGCGATAAATACAATCTTCTTTTCATCATGTCGGATGAAGTCATTGGTATGTTAGCAACTCGTCTCTTTCGCTATCTTTTTATTGT